CCATTTTATTTAATAGCAGATCAGTGCTCACTACACAGGACACCGTGGGTCTGCTGTCCAGGACTCTTCACCGCCCTTTGTCTCTGTGTCAGCCTACGGATGCTTCCCACCCTTCTCCAAATACAGAGCCATGGCTATTTTTACTGCCCTGCCTCACCTGCCGTCCCCAGCTACACCCCTCACCATCCTCTCATGCAGCCCAGCTAGGCATTTCCACCATTTTCTCTTGGCACATGCTGTTCCCACTGCCTGGAATACCCTTCCAGTTCTCTTCTCCTTCACCCAAGACATCTCTCCTGACCCTTCCTGTCTCTGGACAACGCTCATGTCATCCATGCATGCTGCCCATCCTCTGGGCTCCCACAAGGCTCTGCTCACGATGGATTTACTTCCCCACATCTCCGTCTCCCATAGACCACAAGCTCCTTACAGGTAGGGATCGAGTGGTTTGCTCTGCAGCCGCGGCGTTGAGTACAGTGCCTCCCACACTCAGTAAAGTTCTCATGGATGATGGAATGGCTTCAAATGTCCTGCTCCACACTTTCCTCCAGCTTCTAGTTCTCCAGGCCATTCCCCTGCATATCCAGCTGAATTCTCAAAGTCGCCTGGTTCCAAATGAAGGCCCTCTTCTTCCTCATAAGTCAGCACCTCTGCCTGATTTCTTTTCTGTTCGACCCCTATTTATTAAACTCATACTCTGTGTGCTGGACACAAGGGCTGGTTCAAAGAGAAATAAGATCCAGCCACGCCCGCAAGGAGGGTCTAGAGCAGGGTTTCCCATTCTCGGTGCTGTTGACATTTGGGGCTGGGGAGCTGTCTGTCCTGGGCCCTGCAGGATGGTTGGCAGCGTCTCTGGCCTCTGTCTGCTAAGGGCTGACAGCGTCCTCCTCCCAAGCGTGACAATCCAAAGCATCTCCACACCCTGCAAGTGCCCCTGTGACACAAAATCAACCTCAGCTGACGATCAGTGGTCTAGGCTCAGAGACATACATTTCAGTAAGAGGTAGGTGTAAGCACCAAGGACAAGCATGATCTGTAAGGAAATTACATGGGAGACTGAAAATACTTGTATCTACCCTGACGAGCTGGCCAAGAAGCTAACGCTCTGTCACGTGAAACAGGTAAAAGGCAACACAGATGGCATCATTTCACTTGTTTTTATGGCTAAGTATTTCACTGTGTGTGTGTGAGTGTGTGTGTATACACATCTTCTTTATCCAATCATCTGTGGATGGACATCTAGGTTGCTTCCAGGCAAGCTATGCTGTATACTAGAAACTAACACAACATTGTAAATCAACTATACCTCAATAAGAAAGAAAAAAAAGAAAAAAGACAACACAAGACAGCGTTTTCACGATGGGAGGCGAGGGCATTAAAACTTGTTTAGCCTTTGCTGAGCAGAAGATGCTTTGCATTCACTGACTGGTTTCATTCTCACAATAATCCTGCAAGGCAGGGAGCATTTCCCATTAGTGAGGGGAGGAAAGTGAGCTTAGGAGTTAAGGTTACGGGTTCAAGGCTGCACACTGGCTTTTTGTATTTGCGAATGGTGCCCGTCTCTCCGCCACCTGTCCTTGTGGTCATCGCTCTGCCTCCTTCGAGTCGCCTCAGCATCAATCAGCGTCGTATCCGGACGACTGCAGTGTCACAGTGTCTCACATCTGTTCTTTGCCTCTCCAAGTTCCGACTCTCCCTGCCTCCAGCTTCTCCTGGTCGTCTCTACCCTAAACAGCAGCCAGAATGAATCCTAATGCGCAACTGGATATTGCACCTGCTTTCTCTTCACTGCAAGCCAAACTCAAGGCAAACTTCATGGCTTGGCTTTCTAGTCTCCTTTCTGAGTCCCACCTCGCTTCCTAGCCCTGCCTCTCACTGCCTTCCTCAGGCATACATCGTGCTCTGCTAATACTTAGTATTTCTGACGGGCTGATTGTATCGGTTTATAGACTCCTCACAGCAGCCCAGCGAGGTGGATGGTGCTACTTTTACTTTACTAATGACCCCAAGCTGCTTCCTCTTTCCCTTTGCTCACGCTGCTCGCTTGCCTGGACACCTTGTTTCCACCTTCCTGCACCTCTTTTCTCAGGCAGAGCACCTCCAGGACTCAGCTCTGACGTCGTGCGTTCCCAGAGCCGCTGGAGATCAGTTAGCGCTTGGAGACGGGGATCTTCTCTTTAGAGTGCATTGTCCTAGTATCATCCGATATGCCTCTCACAGCAAGCTTCTAAAAGGGAGCTGGAATCACCTCTACACCCCAGTGGTCCCACTCTTAGGAGATGCTCAAATACATGTTTCAACAAATGGAATTTTTTAATGTTTCTCAATCACAGCTGCCCTGGTAGCTGTATGGACGGGAGCATCAGGGCTTCCAGCCAAACCTCCTGTGCCCTCGCCCGGCACCATCGGCTGTCAGGGCTCAGGTGCTCAGTCCGCTGCTGTCTCCTGCCTGCATCTGAGGACACCCGGGGGTGGGGATGATGGAGCCTGGGGAGTGTGCCCCCCTGGATCTTCCTCTACTCGCCCCTCCCCACCCCGTTTCCTCCGGCCAGAAGGCAGGGGGAAGAAACCCCCTATCGTCCTCCTCTGCCAACAAAGACCAATCCTCAGAGGTTACTTCTTTAGGGTCTTACTTACAAGAAACAAAGAACCATCCTGAATGATTTAAACTGGAAAGAAATTAACTGAAATGACAGTGGATGGCTGAAGACCTCAGCAATAGGGGCAGGTGGATAAGCCCCAGGACCACAGCCAGTCATGTGCCACAGTCAGCCTGGTGTTAAGTCCTGCCGCTGCCTGGGTGCGACAGCCACAACCCTCTGCCCGACCCAGCCACCTCTTGCTTCTGCTCCTGTTTTAGTACCTGAATCACCATCTGGGGCAGGTACCTGGGTAAACCTGGGTCTCAGCCTCGTCCTGGCTACAGGGAAGGCTTTTCTGATGGGAAGTGATCCTGACGAACCTCTGGGACTTAAACGGCATGGTCTCCAAACACAGGAATGGGTAGATGTCAGGCTTCCCTTCAAACAACGCCCACTAGTGGTCATCCAGTTTAACATTTTTCGCATCCCACCTCCCCTCCCTTCAATTACAGAGAAGACAGAGTCCTAGAGGGGATAATGGCTTTCTTCTCAGAGACATCTTCTGTGCCAACACCAGCCAACTGGATCCCAAAGGGACGGAGCACTGCTGGGGACCTTGAGGCTTCGTCTGGCTGGGGGAGGCAAGGGGGCCGAGCGTGTTACACTGTCCCGCGTTGTGCTTCTGCCCGCGTAAGGCAGACAGCAGCACAGCTGTTTCCCTGTGGAAAGCCAAGCCTTAAGTGCCTCCCCTGGCCACCCTGCTTTGTGGATGACTACACACACTAACACCATTTCCTGTGCTGGGTATTTTTACTTCGCAAGATGAGAGCATTCAAAGATTTAGCGAGAGCCCGGTTAAACGTTTCCAAACCCAGCTGTGCACGAGAATCATCTGGAGACTCCTCCGTCCTGCTACAGGCCTCCATGACCATGCCTTGGGCATCAGGCAAGAAAATCTCAATAGTTAGGGGCTTCCTGTGTGACACGTTTTTCTGGGTGGCATTTGGGAACTCACCTCCCAGAACAGAAGCCAGTCTTCCACAGGCAGAGGTCCCACCCCCTCTTCAACAGCTGAACTCCACCAGAACTCAAGGATGCACAATTTCCAGGCTTAGAAATAGCTGGAACATTTCTCTCTGTATCTGCATCTGTCACATGACTTGGAAAACAACATCACAATTGTCCACGACACCTGTCTTCTCTAGACTAACCAGGCTCCCGAGAGGCACTCAGCCACAGACATCCGTGTCCTCGGCCGTAACCGGCACCTAGCAGGCTCGTAGTTCACGAAGACTTAGGTTTATCCAGAGTCACTGTTCCCTCCACCAAACACCCAGTACAAACCAGAGCAGACCTGAAAACTGCATGAACCTATGTGGACAGTGGCCTCAGGAAAGTCCCACAGGGCTGGAGAACCTCCCAAAACCTGGGTCTCATCTTCAGAATTCCAGGGGATTCAAAGTGTCAGGAACCCTTGGTCTGTACTCCACAAGGCCCAGCCTGGCTCAGATTTCTGGTGAGCCCCTGTGCCTGACGCCGTCCGCAGCCAGCCTTTCGTGTGGGATCCAGGTTACCGTAAAGACAGCTAACGGGCACAGAGCGCTTCACACCGGGGCCTGCCTGGACACTACACGCAAGCTTGTTCAGTTCTTACCAGCCCAGGAGGTAGGTTTATTACTTTCTTTGTTCTGCTCATTTAATAGGCCCAGAAAAGAGAGCTGGAATCTGAAAACAGGCACTGTGGTTCCAAAGAACTCACTTCTAACCATTTTGTATTTCTGAATAAACACAATCTTTTTCTGGTTATTTTGAATTCAGCATTACTTAACTAACCTGGCCAGTTAAGCTCAAAATAAACGTATAGGAATGACTTACCACCAGCAGCTCAGAGGACCCAGAGGTTTCTATCTGCACGTAGTGGTCTGCGTGGCTCCTGGCCCACGCTGCCTGGCCTTCCTGAGGAAGCTGCTTAACCTCCTTTGTCAGGGGAATGGCCCCCATGCCGCCAGCAGCTGTGCCCTCAGCGCGGGGACCTGAGGCCGCCTTCTCCTTGCCCACGTGAGCCTTGCAGGTGGTGCCGCCCTGCCCTCGTATCTGACTCTCGGGACGGGCTCCCTCGCACCCGAACCCGGGCCTGGTGGGTCAGGTCTGGTTGGCTGTCTGGATGTTCCCTGGCTGGGCCGGCCTGCCCGCAGAATCGCACGGGGCTCCCGGCAAGTCCTGAAAGCTGCCGTTATTACAGTCAGTCCTTCCACCTCCTGTCTGTATACTTTTCTCAAAAAATCTCCAGACTGACTCACAGCAGAGGTCAACAATGGCAAGTAGGACGGGGGCACCGACACGCTGAGACAAGGAGGGCCGGCCTGGGAAACGCACCATCCAGAACTCAAGCGCAGGCAGACCGCGGGACACACGAGATACAAAACGGATGTCATTATTTAATGACGCAGGAGAATGACACGTTAGGAAATGACCTGGTTACAAACAGTGAGTAGAGAGAGGATGCCTTACTTCACTTTCGGTAAAAAAAATTAAAAGTATGTATACAAAACACTGGAAGGTTATGTACCAAAATACTGACAGAATTTACTTCTGTTCAGTGATTAAATACTCTTCTCTTTGCTTTTGTGTATTTTTTTGAAACATGATTTCTGAAACAAAAAAGAAAACCAAATTACTGGAAAGAGAACTAGTTATTAAAAGCCAGGAGTCCAGCAGTCAAGGTCTGAACCCAGGACACGTCCAGCTGGGGAAACAGTGGTGGGGTCCAGATGCAGAGCATCGTTCCTTTCTTCTCCTCCCAGAATGCGGTTGAACAGACAGTTTTCTTCCACATTTCATACTCAGTGTACTTACATTTAATAGGAATCTATGAATATTAACTTGCACGACAGCAAAATGATGCTAGCAGCTTTGGTTTTAAATTGCTACAAAATGGTTATTACATTATTACAAACACTAGAAACAGAACACAAAACACACTAGAAAATCAGGGGTTCCTACGGCAAAAACCCCACCTGACTAAAACACTGCCTCTGCTGCTCTGTTCCTTTTCAGTTTTCACCATAGATCTATTTTTCTTTCATGGATCTGGAAGAGGCAGTTTTTCTCAAGAGGATGTCCTGCCCTCTAAGCGCTCTGAAGATTTGGAAGGGCTCACCAAACTCCTAACACTTCAAACAAATCTGCCTGATGACTGTCACCACACTTTATGCCTTAAAACAAACAAACAGAAAAAACAAAACAAAACAAAATTCTGCCAAGTTATCAAACGGAGAACAGCAGAGTATTATACCTGTAAACGAGGCTCAGAACTCCCAGCGCTCCCTCAGCCCTGCCTCCAATGCTGGGACTGCCAGGGGTACTTCATTCAAGTGATAAAGACGACCCCTACTTTTTACTCTTGAAAACATAAAAAGGAGAAAGGCTCACAGTTCTAAAAGCCGGTGTTTATAAAAATCAGTGCCACCTTTAACTGAAGGTGCTTCCCAGAGCCCCTGCCTTTTTACAGGGAAGCATTTTCAGGAGGGGTCTAGAATCACGGTCAAGGTCCAAGAAACAACCAAAATCAGAAAAAAAAAAAAACAAAAAAACCAAACTCGAGACAATTTTCTGCATTACCACCACCACCACCACTGCCTGTCCAGGATGCTAGGTCATTTGCCTTTGAAGGCAGGCTGGCACAGCAAGCCGTGCCACAAGTCTTCAGACACCAGGGAGGAGAGGTACAAAAAGAATTATACTAAAACAATAGTATTTTCGGAGAAAAAGATTTAAACTTAAAAACATTCTGTCATCACAAAGACTAAAAAGGTCCCTTGCCTTGCTCTTGGGCAATCAAGAAATATCCAAATGTTTTATATCCCCAAATAGGAGACCTGCTGGAAATACCAGTGCTCGGAGCCTGCAACCCAAGTCAATTTATAGTCATGTAGGTCAGTCCAAATCCCAGAGCAACAAAAGTCCCTCGTCAGAGCAAGGGAAAAAAATCCACTTCAGGACAGAGCTCTGCACGATGGGAGGGGGGCGCGTCTTCAGTGGGAGAACTGCCTCCTGTCGGAAGGTTTCTTGCTAATGTGTTTGAAGATCTTGGACTTCTCCACTTTCCTGGCTTTCTGGTAGCCGAACCCACCGCCGCCTCCTCTCTTTTTAAGTTTGCCGTCATTGCTGTTCACGTCTGAAGGTGAAAGTTAAGGAAATCAAGCAACACACAGGCAATGAGCTCCAAGGTACCACCCACAAGAGAACCCACCGGCTGCGCAGCACCAGCCCCCCACCGCCTCCCTGAACCATGAACACGGGTGACATTCCCGACAATCAGGAGTGGCCACGTGACCCTGGACTGAAACAGGTGTGATTTTTAAGCCCAGTACTAGTTAGATTAGTTATTTTCTCCCCGCCAGGAAGCAGAAGACAATTACTTACAAGGAGTTATGAGGTCAATCAGCAAGTTTATAGGGACACATTAAAAATTACCCTCAGTGTCCAAATGACCTTTGCCCCTGCTCAGAGCTGATCAGGAGGGCTTTGCCAAGGGAAGGAGCTGTTCTTCCCTTTACGTGACTGGACACTCACTCCAAGTCCATGATGGGGACAGCCACCCCAAACTTGGTCCTCTGGTCCCCTCGGGAGTTACGACCATCGTGTTCATGAGCAGGCCTCGCTCTGGCTGGTGTGCAGCGAAGCACGCGTTCTAAACCCCAACAAAGCAGCCAGAGGGGACTCCTCTGCCTTTTATCTTGAGTAGCACTTGTTTTACTCTCTTTTGCTGATCCTGCAACTTCCTTATAGGAAATGCTCCAGTGGCTCTGCGAGAATAAACTCCTTCAGCTTCTTCAGGGCGTCCTGCTCCTGTGCACCCTGTACAGGGAAACCAACACCCGCCTGGCCCTGCCATTTTACCCCAAGCTGCTCTCCGGAATGTACAACACCCCCCCCCCAATCTTCCACTTCAATTCCTTTGCTTTTTTTAAAGTCTGAATCACGAGTGGTCTCGTTTCTGCAATCTCCACCCTGACCTGAATCCCTGCCCACCCCTGGCAGGCACTGACATGCGGCCAGTGAGCAGGATGAAGGCCTGGGCCCCCAGGCCTCAGCCAGAGCGCACACCCACCCAAGTGGTAAGCCCCAGTGCCCCTGTCGAGCTTCTGTCCCCGAGTTCCTGGATGAATTCACAACCACAAAGAAGAGGATACTCAGGTCAACAAAAGGAGGCACCTTGAAACCGAACGACAGAGCAACATGAGGCAAATTTAAGTTATTAACGTTAAAGATCTGCTTCAGAGAGTGGGAATCATATGCTCGGATGTATGACTTATATGCCTCCTGGGCTGACTTGTGAAGGAAGTAGTTCTTTTCAATCAGTTTTTCAAGCTGAAACAGGAAGAAATACTGGTTTTAATAAAATAAAAAAGCACATTTCATATAAAACACTTGTTCCACTACACTTGCTCCAAGCTTTGTAATATTTGCAAAATCAAGTGAGAACGGTGACAAAGTTCTTGCAAGATATGGACTGAAACAAGGCAGAGAGCAAGGGGTGTGGTGGGCAGTGCAGCCAGGAACCCACCCCTCACACAGGCCGAACCACTTGCTTTATGAAGAGGGAGACCCGGAGGACAAGGGCAATGAGACACTACAGAGGTGGTGCTGGAGTGACCTCCCCTGCCCGCCCACTGCATACCTGAGACTGAATGTCTGAAATTTTGGACCAAGAAAACTCAAATTCACTTAATGGAACCTAGAAAATAAAAGCATGAAGATTAGTAACCAGGATGGCACCACTGCTCACTAGGCACTGAAGACGGGGGTTCCTCAGGCCAGACACTTGCTCCCTCTTGTGGGGAAGCCTTACCTTACCTCTGCTCATTGCACATGACCATGCTATGGAACTTCCTGGAAGAAAGGGGGAGAAACTGGACAAGGACAAGGAGTCATTGAAGCCCTTTTCTCTAAATAAGGACCTCACCACAACGTGAACAATAAGCCTGATGCTTCCAGTTAGACGAACCACCAGCCCTTCGCTCCGTGTCAGGAAAGCGGCCCTGTGACAGCAGAGGTCACTGTCCACAAACCCCTTCAGGAAGGATTTCTCACCAGCCATCACTTCTTAGGTAACTGCAAGAGTGCCAGACCCGTGCAGGTGCTGGGGGCACAGAGCAGCTGCCCTGTCATGGCCCTGCGGCCCTGAGAGCCTGCAGCCTCGGGGGGGAGACAGCGTCGACAGCTCGGCGAGCACTCATGCTGGGGGCACGGGAAGGAGGGCAGGAGACCGGAGGTGGCCGTCCAGGGGAGATGGCGGCCAGCTGAAACCAGGGGCCATCAAGAGAAGCAGGAAAGGGCATCTAGGACAAAAGCGCCCCGGCCACAGGGCAGTTTCTAGGAACAGCTCCCAGCTGGCTGGCAGAGACTCCACCAGGCAGGACACTGACAGGGAGGCCAACGAGGCAAATGTCACGTAAGAGAAGGCCTGACAAGCGTCCACAAGCCCGAGCAAGAAAGGGGCCGAAGCCACGTTAGGGCGGGCTGGAGACCAGAAAGAGTGGAAAGTAAATGGAAAAAATGTGAACCGCATTTCAAAACGGCAGAATGAAGACAGTGACAGGCTGGAGCCACGTTGGAGCGAGTGGCGGGAGAGTGGGTTTAGGTCTGAAGTTATTTTTCTGCTGAGACTTGAGACGGCGAAGAGTTAACACAGGGGAGATACAAGGCCAAACAGAATTGATGAATAAGGGACAGAAGGAGGAACAGGCAGGAGTGGCTGGGCTCCCCATGGCCTCGGGGAGGTAAAGGGCCAGCTGGGAGACAGGCGGAGTGGAAGGGAGTGGGAGGCACACCCCCACCGGCTGTGAGGGGGCCTCGGTGTGGAGGTTTCCGGCAGGGCTGCAGGGAGTGAGGTGGGAGATGGGGGACACAGACACCGAGCCATGGGGGTCATATCCGACCACGCCAGTCTCATCTGCTGAACCACCGGACCAGGCATTCTCAGCACCCGGACAACTCTGGACTCCTCGGACACGCCTAGAAACGGGGCCCAAGGCCAGCTGCCCTGGCAAACAACCCCTATCGGCAGGAATCAGCCCCCAGTGTAAGGTTTTCCAAGCAAAGCTCTTTACCTTGGATTGCTTCAAGTAGCGGAGGAAACCCAGTTCTTCCGGGCGCAGGATGAGCAGGGCGTGCCCTCTTCCATTCAGGCCCCGGGCTGTTCTACCCACACGGTGGATGTACTCCTTTGGAAGACAGAAAACCTGAGGTAGCACACTGGGCCCGGGGGCCGTCCGCCTCCCCAGAGCTTGCTTGGTGGTGGAGCAAGTGTGTCAGCACATAGGTGTGAGATGGCTCCCGACCCCGACCCGGCAATGGCCGGTCACCACGTTCCCCGAAGCTGGTCCTCCACCCCTTCTGCAGGCACCTCCCCAAAGAGGGAACAAGGCAATGACTGGGGCCAAGGAAAGCTGGACAAGATACTCACATCAGCCCTACGATCTAATCAAATGACTATTAAGTGGGCTTCATCTTCAAAATGGCTTTTGGAAACATGTTTACGGCTGACTGTCAGTGATATAATCTATCGTTTGTTGAAAACATCCAATAGAACTTATTTTACTGCATGTACTACAGAATCGTATCTGGCTCTGTAAGCCAATTTTATAACCTTCTGACGCCTACTGCTCTTCACAGATCCTTCCAAGCCTGTAACGTTCCTAGGCCCCACCATGCCTCTCAGATCTCCCTGCACACACCCTCTTTGGGTCTTGCCAAGGCCCTAAACAGGCATCAGCAGCAGAGAAATACTGCAGCCCCTGTACAATGAAGCACGACTCGAACGACGACAGGATAAACCTTTGAATGTGGAACGTGGTACGTGTCAGGGAACCTGCGGGGTGGTTCACTCCCTAACGGAGAGCCATTCTCGGACACCCCGAGGATGCCAGTTACCTTGGGGTCATCTGGAGGGTCATACTGAACAATCCAGTCAACTTCAGGAATGTCCAGCCCTCTAGCTGCCACGTCTGTACACAGCAGTGTCCCCGAATCCGCATTGCAGAACTGGAAGAAGGTGGTCGTGCGTTTGTTTTGTTTCTGCTTTCCCTAGAGTCAAAGCGAGACACCCATTACAACAGGAACCTTGGGGCTGCTTCTGGGGGGTCCTGATGAGGAACCCCCGCACTCGGCACTGCTAATCTGCTTTATTTCAGGTTCACCCCCAAGGGACAGCATCTGTTCCTCCTTTCCGGTCCTCTCCCTCCACCCCCAGCCCAGCTCCCTCCACACAGGATCCACCACCCAGTACTGCCCAAACTTCTCAGAACTACACTGGAAGCCTCAAACCCCACCATCTGTATAATGTAACAGACACAACCTGTTTTAGTAAACTGATCACAGTCACTTACATGAATGGCCAAGACAGGCAAATCAATGTAGTTCAGCAACTCGTAGTGGTATTTCACAGACATACAGGATGAAAAGAAGACCATGAGCTTCTTTTTCCGGTTCTTCTTAAGGAACGTAAAGAGCAGGAGGAATCTCTTTTCCGAGGGACAAATAACATATCCCTACGAGAGGTGCAAGAGAACAGACACAAAATAACAGACACTTGCGGCTTCACGAACCAACAGGATCTGACGGAGAGCACAGGTGAATACCGCACACACTGTCAGGCCTCACCTACAGCAGAACTACTGCCTTCGCTGTAACAAAGCATCCCTAAAGTAAGACTCATTTGAGTCCTCATAATGGCTGCAATCACTGGATACGAAGCACTTTTCACATTACTGAGACCACTGGTTATCAAGTTCTTGTGGCCATCATAGACCAACGTCTCTATTAACTGGAACCCTCAGAGTGTATCAATGACCCATTCTTGGAAGGTCCTTAACAGCAAGATGTCATATAACCACAGCCTAAGTGTGTTGTCCTAAACAGAACAACAAAGCTGGATGAATGTATTTTTAAAAAATTAAACAATCCACAAAAGCCTTTAAAGCTAAACTGTTACAGAAAATACTTTATTCATCAAGAGAGTCAATCTCAAAGCTCTATTTTTAAGCAAACTCGTTTGGGTCTTCATCACCTCACTCCCACAGCTACATGCTTGAAAGCAGCCTCTCCATCTTCTATCTCACTTCGTGGCTTAGAGCAAGAGATTATTAAACAATAAATGTTTTTTTCTAACTTGTCTACAATGGGTAGTGATATATTAATGCCTACGCTGTGGCAAGCAGTGTTAAGAGACAAAGAGCTGATCAAATTAGAGTTAAAGACACTATACACCAGGACAGTCAGAGACCCAATACCCAAGTTCACACACTGGAATTAAAAGTTTATTAACCGTTTGCTTTCTAGATGATCCTCCAGATCTGCTGGGAAACACTAAAGAGCCTTAAAACTGAAGGTGCTGACAAGTACCTGCTCAAGACCATCCACCGTGGCGTTAGCTTTGTCATCATCAACACCAACGTACAAGGGCTCCTTTTTCAGAGAAATCCTCGCCAGGTCTTCAACCTTCCGCGTTTGTGTGGCAGAAAAGAGCATGGTCTGTCTGCGTGCTGAAACACACCCGTATAAAAATAACTTCAATCTTTCAGGGTCTCTTTACAATAGATTCATAACGAAAATGTTTCAAGAATCATCAGGGACGTGAGATACAGTATCAATTCAGATAGTAAGAAAAATCAACAACAACTTTCTGGCTATAAATTTGACAACTGAGATAAAATGGACAATTTCGTTGAAAAAGAAATTGTTAAAGCTCACTCAAAAATAAACAGAAAGCCTGAACAGCCTCGTATCTCATTAAAGAAATTATGGTTAAAATCTTCACATAAAGACTCCAGCCCCAGTGGCCTCTGCTGGTGAATTCTATTAAACATTTTAGGAAGAAATATTTCCAGTACTTCATAAACTCTCCAGGACACTGAAAAGTGCTAACTCACCAACTCATACTTTTAACACAATTTTAGCGAAGCGAGTCCAGAAATACATATAAAGGATAATGCATCACGACCAAGAAGAGTTTATTCAGGAATGCAGGTTGGTTACAGGTTTAAAAATTAACCAGTATAATGTGCCATATTAACAGACTAGAAATTTAACATTTATTTCTCATTTAAGAAAAGTCTCAGCAAAACTAGGAATAGAAAGGATCATCCTCAGTCTGAGAAAGAGCATCTACTAAAAACCTACAGCTAATATCACCCTTAACGGCGAAGACCAAATGCTTTCCCGCCTAAGACTGGGAATAAGACGACACAGTCTTCTCTTGCCAGTTCTATTCAGTACTGTTCCGGGGGGTTCTGGCCAGTGCAGTCAGGCAAGGAAACAATTAAGTGGAGAATTTACTTATTTTTTTATCTGTAGATGACATGACTGTCTCTACAGAAAATCCAACAACTAGCTGCATTTGGAGGGTCCTACTGGACAACCCAGTTGGATACAGCAGTAAGTAACTTCCTGGATAAAAACAGTATGCAAAAATCAACTGTATTTGTATATATAAGCCACGAACATTTTGAAATTAAATTTTAATGAGAGATTTAGGGATAAATCTAACAAAAGACATGAAAAAATCTGTACACTGAAAACTCTGAACCACTGCTGAGCGAAATCAGGGAGCTAACAAATGAAGATACACCTCACCCACGTGCTGAATGGCTCAATGCTGTCTCTTAACGATGATCTGCATTCAGCACAATCCCAACCGAGCCCCTGAGAGTGCAGAGACTGACGCACTGGCTCTGAAATTCACACAGATATGCAGAAGATAAGAACAGCCAACATAATTTGGAAAATGAACAAAGGTGGGGGATCACATTGCTTAATTTCAAGACGTACTAGGAAGAATCAGAGCTTCTTACACCGCTGATGGGGATGGAGAACAGCACCAGACAAACACACACCAGCCCCTCCACTCCTAGGTAATTACCCTACGGTACGGGGAACACATGCCCGTGAGAAGAGCTGTAGATGAATGTTCACAGCAACTTTCCTAACAGCAGCTAAAACTGTAAATGACACAACCGTACATCAGCAGTTAAATGGATCAATAAACAAGCTGTGGCACATTTATGTACTAGAACGCACTGAGGAATAAAGCAAAGAACCACTCATACGTGGAATGGCATGGATCAGTCACATAAGCATTAGCTGAGCACAAGGAGCCAGACAAAAGGAGAGTCATACTGTATGCGTCCATCCACAGAAATCCCTGGACACTGTGACCCAGGCTGACAGAAAGCAGATGGATGGTCTCCTGTGGGAGAGACACGAGGAGCTGTCGGAAGCAGTGATGGCGCTGCCGCTGAGGGTCACAGGGAGGAGTTAACGAAGGCGCACAAAGAAACTTCGCAGGGGAATGGAAATGTCTGCTGAACTGACTGCGGTGATGGTTTCAAGGAGTAAACAGGCCAACACCCACAAAATCGTGTATATAAAGCCTGTACGGATTATAAGTCAATTATACCTCAATAAAGCATTAAAACCACATACTGCACTGAACCATGGTCTTATTACAACTATAAGCAGCTTATAATGATGCAAGGGCTATAACCACGGTATAACACAAATGTAACAGAAGGCAACGGTCAACAGCTACCTGGGAGATGAGGGAAGAAAAAGTAAGATGAGGGTGGAATGAGACGTACGTTAGGACTGCTTGACTTGCACTGTAACCGTTCACATAGCAAAACCGCTGCATTAAGTTGCTAATAAGACTGGCGCTTGAATTGCAAACTACCTCTAAGGCTGACTGGCACCACTATTCGGCTATATTAAAATTCTGGCATTAATAGTTCTCATATAGGAAAAACTCTCGCCTACTGCCAACAGCTATTTGCAACCCACATGCAGATGCTACCTACTTACTTGGCAGAAGTTTAATAATTTGCTTTAATTCCTCTTCAAACCCAACATCCAAGATACGATCAGCCTCATCGATAACCAGACACTGTAGGTTTTTATACATAAACCCCGGGGTGTTCTAACAAGACAAAGGACAAGGAACAACTGTTAGCCGTCAAGTGTATGTTTCACAGGAGACAAAAGACGGGCACTACAGACAGTGTCCTCTCACCTGCATGTGGTCCAGCAGACGGCCTGGCGTGGCCACAATGATGTTGATCCCATTGGCAAGTTTCTGTGCTTCGGCAGACCTGTTACTGCCGCCCATGATTAACCCGTATGTGTGAACGTGGTGTGTCATCAGCTCCTTAAGAACACCGAAAGTCTGCATGGCCAGCTCCCTGGTAGGTGAGAGAATCAGGACTCCTGTTCCTAGAAAGCAAACAATGATTCCGGTGAAAGTCAAACTGCAGTCATCACCATGAGTCCATTAAGAGCTCCAGTGAGACACTGGCAGAGACAATCGGACCACGGGCTTACCATTCCTGGGCATGAACTTCAACTTCACAATGAGTTCAACTGCGGGGATAAGAAACGCCAGAGTTTTGCCACTGCCTGTTTTTGCAGCTGCTAGAAGATCCCTACACGTTAAAAAGGAAAAGGAGAGAGACGCTCAGTCTACTTACAAGTACTTACTGACTGCCCACCACGCACCGTCACAAACACAGCAGGCAGCAAGCCTAGATCGTAACAAGAACAATGTCCCTAACTTCTCAATTGCTGAAATCAAACATGTAGGTCAAACACGTAACTCAGAAGTAAGGATTGTGCTAAAAGCAAAAGTCAACACTTTTCTCCAAATCTCGGTAAATAACCTAAAACCTATAATGAAGGCTGGATATATTACCCAACACAGTCCAAAACCAACAGAACACACTGGTATTTTCTTTCCAAAGTACGAGCACTAAAAACAGAGACACTAATGGCTGAATCTCAATGTTAATCATACCTGCCTTCCAGAAGCGGTCTGATACTTTTATGTTGAATTTCAGTCATGTTTGTGAAGCCCATTTCTTTTATTGCCTTCAGAGTGTTCTCATTAACAAGATTAGCTAGCGAAGCAAATGAAGTATCCTCAAAAGCTCCTAAAAAGATCGTTTCTCATTAGCGAATTCAGCTTCTCTCCATAGCGAGCCTGCTCTAGCTACCCACACGAGTTCTGCTGAGGGGAAAGCCTTGCTGGGCTGCTGTCTAGCTTAGAAAAGTTTCTTCCAGAAAGAAAAGACAAAACCCCAGCCATTACCACATAGCACCAGGATAAAGACCCCCCACTTTCGAAGCCTCCCCACTGCTGATGGCTGTGGGACTCAAAGCCCAGAGCCCACACCGTAACAAAATCATAAGGGAAGGAGAGGAGGTACCATCAAGGGACTTGCATGGAATGAACATGTCAAGGCGGGGTGGGGGTGGGGTGGGAGGGGCAGGGAGTGCAGGGCGAGAGTTCAGAGAGGAATGGTATGTTTATGTTCTGTGGCATCTCTGACCTCTACCCACTAGATGCCAGAAACCCGCCTCCAGTTCTGACAGCCAGACCTGCTGGCTGCCAACCCTCTCAGTTTGCCGGGGACAGAGGAGGTTTACAGGATGCAGGACTTTGAATGCTTAACTGAGATGAGCTGGTCACCCTACCTGGGAGGCAAAATTGCCCTGGTTGAGAACCATTGCCATAACCTCTGCAACTGCGATTAAAGCAAGTCTCAATATTTTAAGAAACCAAAAACTCCAACCAAACAACTCGAGTAAAGTCCAGACATTCCTGGTTGGAGCAACTGATTCTGGTCTAAACTCTAGACTTTTTATTGTAAAGAAACAGAGGCCAAAGGAGGTGACCCTGGCACAAGCCCCTCCGTGACGTTAATTCCATCCCTCTCTTCAGTAACCGAGCCAGTGTTAAACCTCGGCTCTCCAGCTTCCAGGCCAGTGATCTTCCCACTACAGTGTGGAGTGAGCTTGAGAAAGTGGCAAACCAAAGGAACGGAGGAAGGACCCCAAGAGCTGCTTGGACGTATCTTAAAATATTTAGTGTGAGGAATAAAGAAAAAGGAAAAATAGAGAAAGAAACCATCAGAACGAAGGCACACAGAATGGCAGACAAAAAGCAGCACTTGGATGTAAAATCATTTCCTGTCAATACTTGTTTTTTCCAGGTAAATTAAGTATCACCACTGAACCTCCAAACTGCACAACCCAGGGAGGCGTGACACTCTGGAAAACGCCCTGAAAGTTACCTGTCAGTCCCAGGGGCAGGTTGGGCACCTCGCTGCCATCGTCCCCGTCCTCTGGCTTCTCCACACTGTCTTCTGTTTCCTCAGGAGCCTGGCCATTGTCTTCAGTTTTTGCTTTTTTAGTATCTTTGGTTTAAAAGACAAAGTCCCCCCCCCCAAATTTTTTCTTAAAATAAAAATACCAAATGAGATCACAGAATAAAAGATGTGTGATGCAAAAAGCCGGATGTGCAAAAGCTTAACACATTTTCAGTTTTAATTTGCCAAGAATCTCTTCTTCATGATCAAAAATTTGGTTACATTAAAAAACCTGGGGGGACATGCAGGCTTGCCAACAAAACTTTATTTTTAAGGCTTCTTAATGTATTACACCATTTAAGCAACCAAGAAATTCTTTCATAAGCTGAACTAAACTATTTAAGTATACTCATCACATCCAGGTCTATAAACTTCACTGAGGAAAAAAATTCAAGGGTATGTGGTTAATTTTTTTAAAAAAACTCATAACAAGCATCAATTTTTCCTCCTACTCTATTAAACATAGTTTCTATAAAAGCTAATTTTTTAAAAAATGAACAGAAACACCAAAGACTCTTCATGTTACCAGAGATAAACCTCAAAGCCAAGCACAACAATCTACTTAGCTGGACAGAAACTGGCCTGTTCCCCGAATGTCAGCAGTTGGGGGAGGCAAGGGAAGGCCTCATGGCTTTCTGTTTGGACATTCACAACTTTCATGACATAGTCATCTAAGTTACCTTTCCAGTGACAAACCGTCACGCTCTTAAGTGTTCCACTCTGGGTCAAATGGGTCGGCCACCATGCTGGGGCTTCCATACCTTTACGGCATTACTGATGCTCGTCAGAAGAGAACTGACTTACACCTGAACTCAGGACTCGCCATAGCCCAGGACTGGCCTCTTCCTTGGGCCTCACCACCACCCTCCTGGGACATGGTCAACTCTGCGGGACCCACACGTTCAAAGGCCACAGATATCATCAGCTGATCACTTAAAGGTTCCCAATAGGAGTTAAACTCCCAGCCCTGTACTATCTTTCCCTTAGGCACACTCAGAACAAGATTCTTAAAGGCACTAATAATTCTAGAATAGGGTTACATCACTTTGAATCAAAACCGTAATGACTAATCCTTATACTTTTCTCTACCTTGTTTCACTGTTTGTTTAAACAATTTCTCATAACTTCTAGGTGTCCTATAGCATATAGGCAGCAAACAGACAGCCCTGCATGTTTGGAAAATTCAGAGCTCTTTTCTAAATGAAACCTTTATTTCAGATAGGAGCTGAATAGATATGCTAACCCAGGTGCTGGCAAACTTTCTCTGTAAGGGGCCAAATGAACATTTTAGTCTTTGCAGGCCATGGGGTCTCTGTCACCACAAAGGACAAGTAGACAAATGGGCACGGTGTTCCAATAAAGCTTTATTTGCAAAAACAGCCAAAAAGGCGGACTAGTCTGCTGACACCTGTTCTATCCTCTCTTGAAATCTCTGCTTGCTCACATCTCAGTTAGGATGCCTACTCTTTCACCTAAGCTTATTCAAATTCAAACATCTTCCAAAACAATACAGCATCGCTGTCCGTCCTCTGCTCGGTCCCAACACTATCCTGGCCATTCTACTCACTTGAAAATTAAAGTTCCATTTATTCAGACGTCTCCTGACTGCTAGTTTACACATCTTGCATATCCAAATTAAAACAAAGTCTCCTTTCAAAGGCAGAAACTTATAGGAAAAAGAAATGGGGCAAAAAACAGGTAAATGCAAAGTCCTTCGATCCATAAGGACCCAAGATAGATTTTACCATCAACCCAGATTTCTTCCATGACAGCAACACACAACTCTCTCTGCAAATACGTAAACCTAAAATCCTACGTCATAGTATGTGCTGTTCATCACAAAAGCCCAGTTAACTGCCAAAAAGAGCATGTTTCTGTCATTCTAAGGAGATTCTTATTTAAGAGCGAGGTTTACTTCAAGGCTGTTAGACATGACACGTCACTCAGCAACTTGAGAAAACTTAAAATGCACCCCCACCAACGCTTCCTTTAGCTACCAGACTAGTTTCCAGTACGCCTGTGAGTACGGCAGAGTCTTGCACGTCATCTGGACAAAGTAACAGAGGAAAGGCAGAAAGATAAGCATAAAACACTGAATGGCTTAAGTTCAAAGAAAACAAAGCACGTACCAGGGCCAGCATCATCCACCATTTTTCTCTTTTTCTTCTTCTTCTTCTTCTTTTTTGAATCTGAATTGGGAGACTGCATCGCTGCCTCCTCACTGGTCAGTATGGTAGATTCCTTGGAAGATTTTTTAACTTTTACTTTTCCCACTGTTTCTTTAGCTACATCTCCATTTTGGGCTTCTGACAAGCCTGCATTCACAGACGCTTTCAAGGATTTTTTAACTTTTCCAACTCCTACTGCTTCTTTAGAAATATCTCCATTTGGGGTTTCTGTCAAGCCCTCATTCATAGACTGTTTCAGAGACTTTTTAACTTTTCTACCATCTACTGTTTCTTTAGATACATCTCCGTTTGGAGCTTCTGACAAGCCCACATTCATAGACTGTTTTAAAGACTTCTTAACTTTTCCACCTCCCACTGTTTCTTCAGACACATCTCCATTTTGAGTTTCTGAAAGGCTCACACTGGAGGCCCCTGTTAAGAAGCAGAACACACATTGTGACAAAGAAGGAGAGATTTACTTAAAAACACTGGAATCCCAAATGAGAAATTTCATGGCTACCAGGACTGAAATAATTTACCTTTTACTTCCCCGTCACGTATGTTAAAACCACTTCCAATTTTACAGTGTTCTACTACAGGACAAGTACAAACATTTTTTTAAAGTAACAATGCTGGAAAAGGGAAAGCTGCATTGATTTCTTAACTTCAAAAAACCACATCTCTGTCTGTAAGGAGTTAAGAGTCCAGAACAAGAAAACTTCAATGAGGTGAAATATTTAAACAGGTGAGGTCAGAAAATGGTAGTTACAAAATATACATTGTAATGTTAGGTATTTGATAAATATACTTTCCTAGGCATCAATGAACTGAAAATTCTGCCTATGAAACCACTTATCTGTCCCAATGTTTATCATATATAAATAACTAAAAATGTCTTTACTAAAGTTTGTTTATATATAGAAAAAGTTAGTGGCATCTTTTAATTCTTACCTTTAAATACCCAGAAACAGTTAGTAACGCTTTATTATTCTGTAGGAAATGAAAATCTAAGGGAATTTCAAAAACATTATTCCTAAAACCCACACATCTCTTTCCTCCTCCAAGACTTTTTTTCAGTCTACTGATCTCTGTTGAAAACTGACTAGCGTAAGGCATTATGCCTCCAACACTGAGCTAGGGGTTTACCTGTTACACAGAACCTAAAAAGGTTAACATGAACAACTTCAGGACGTCTGGCTCACTATCAGGAAACTAGGACTGCAAATGAGGTAGGAGAAAAAAGTGACGTTCACGTAAAAATCCTTTTCATGTCAGTCTTTGCTAAGGATGCAAATTTGTAGAAGCTCTCAAGAGATTCTTAACGTAAAATTAGAAGTGACGGGAAAGCAGGGCAAGAGAATATAGAAGGCAATGTGGGAGCTGAACGTGAGGAAGTTCTACAGGAGTTTGGATAGAGTGGAGAGCAGAGGAAAGCAACGGGATCAGGAACGCTCTGTGAAAAATGACGCTTGGCTTGTTTCGAAGCGATATAGACATGAAGTAGATGGGGAGAAAGTCCCACGTGTCTGACTGGAAATGAGAACTGGGGGCTGGGAGGAATGAAGTGGGGCCTGAAGCTGGTGAGGGAGGCAGAAAGGGGAGGGTGGAAGTGGAGCAGGCAGGTTTAACCGGAATTGCTGCTGGAGGCCTGGGAAGGACCTCAAGAAGCCTCCTGCACGAGCTCTGAGGAGGAACCGCCGCTCAGAAAGGTCAGGGGCGCATCTGGGGCCACGCGGAGAGTGGGCGCCTGCACCGGACCCGACTCGAGGCCGCCCGGGCTGCCCTCCGCGCCCCGCAAGCGCGCGCGCTCCGGGGGAAGCTGCCGGCGCTCCACCGGGGCCGCAGGGCTCCGCCACCCGCGCCGCGGCGCCCGCAGCAGCCGCCACGCGTCACGGCCCACGTGCGGGCTCCCTCCGCAACCCTGGCCGCCGCCACACTCCGCGCGCGCATCTCACCCTGTAGCTTCAGGTTTCGCTGTCGCAATTTGAGGTTCCGCTTTTCGATCTTCTTGCGTAAAAGTTTCATCGGTAAATGAGACATGTTGTCGGTGAAGCGCCTTCACGGCGGGGCCACCACCAGGTTCCTCAGCGCCCTGGAGTGACGTCACTTCCTTCCAGACCGCACGTGCGCAGTTGAGCCAACAGGAAATGTATCGCAGAAACGCTTACGGTGGGCAGAAAGGAAATGTGTCCGGTCGGAAATGCTTCCGGGCGCCTGCGCGTCGTACCCTTGGAGAACGGATTCTGTGCAACGCCCTCTAGGGGAGCGGAGGCCCGGCCGTGCACCGGGTTCCCATCGCGCCTGAGCCGGCCCCGTATTGGGGCGATTTGGCCGTTTGAGTTTCCGCAGTGGGAATAGTGAAGAATCAAGGCCGAACACAGAGCCTTAGGGAGTCTCCATTTTTATGTTCCTACCCTCTTTGGATCCTGGATGATTTAAATTGAGTAATACCTAAATTTCATACATATATGTGTTTCCAAATTTGTGTGACCTTTCTTTCGTGAGAAATACACTTTCTGTGTCACTTGGTACTTGGTAATCCACACTAAATATAACATTTCTCAAAGCAATACCCTTGCTCTTGTTTCACTCTGATGTTTTACCTTTGATGGATGTCACTCATTTCCTCCTAAATTCCAAGTCCATTAAAAATTCTGATTAGTATGCATTTAGATTAATTTTACTACACTATTAATAGATTGGCTGCAGTTTGAAAAACAGAGGTTCATAATCCCCAGAGCTCGCACCCACGGCCCCTGTAGGAGTCAAGGTCAGAAATTAGTCTAACTGGCTAGTGGACATTTTTGTGTGTGTGGAAGAGGGTACATTAAAAAAAAAAAAGATTGTTGCCAACGTTAAAAAATTGGGATAGTTCTTGCAGAAATTCGTATCTTTCTTTAAAAATTGGTCCCAATGAGCTCAAATTACCTTTGGCAATAATCAATCTGAGCTGAACAATAACTGAAAGAGTCAATGAAAGCTGATTTGTTCACCTGGAGTGTCAGGGCATGAGCCTGTGGGGATTAGACACAATCGCAGAGAAGAGGGGAGGGGGAGAAAACTGGGGAGGGAGCTAAAACAGAACATAAATAAAGCGACAGAGAAAACACTGAATTGGACTAGAAAACTGAGACAAACAAACCATGATGTGCTTAAGTTGTTAATGATTAGGCAGGCTAAGGGATGAGAAAGAAATTTTAACGCATATAACACAGAAACACACATCTCAGTTCAAGCATATATGTGTCTGTTTAAATTGATATGTATCAGTCTTTATATATGTATTTATGTACATTGTATTGTTTATATTAATTTTTTTTTATTTATTATGATGTTTTGACATCTTAAAAAAAAAAAACCCTTTCTGGCTGAAAAGAGATTGCCCCTCCAGGGATTAGCCAGTTTTTAGAGCCAGCAAAAGACTCAGTCAGGAGTGCGCCTTTAAATATGCAAACTAAGTAATCCAGAGCCACACCTCCTGCATCTGGCCTGTGTACCCGGAGACAATGTTCCTCTGCCTTAATCATCCCAAGGCCAGATACCAAGCAACTTAGAATCCATCTAAATTATCCAAACCAGTCAACCCCAAAGTGTTTGTTTTGCCTTGCCTTGCTTTTCCTGAGGACACACCAAACAAGTCTTGACCTAGTCTCTCCCTGTGGTTCCGCCCTTTCTGCCTTTATTGGATGCTGATGCTTTTCCCGGTGGCCTTGCATGCTGTGACATGCCTTCTATTTCTAGGACCCGTGAGTATAATAGACTATGTTTTCTTGAGCCTCTCCTGTTCAACTCTTGTGGCCACACCTGACTGTCACATACAAGAGCACAGAATATGCATACAAATCTGTTTGTGTCTCCATTTTACATAATATATTTTTGCAAAGAAAAGAACAAATCTGACTCCATATTAGATCTGTTCCTTTGGCTCTAACACTGTGCTCTGTTTCCTGTACTGGTTCTGCGCCTTTCATAAAAGAATGTTGCCTAGAGTCTGAAACATACAGGATCACCTATTCTCAAGGCCCTGAGCGGTATAATACTTTCCCATTCATAGGAAGATAAAAAGTTGCAGGACAGAAAACAACATTTGTTTCATTATAGATTTACAGGGACACCCTGACCTGAGCCATCTGCAAGAACAAAGGGTTCCGACACCAGAAAGTTTGCAACAAACAATCACACTCCCACCACTTTTTAGTATAAAAGGAGCCTGAATTCTGACTTGGGGAAGATGGTTTTCTCAATCTGCCAGCTTTCCCAATAAAGTCGGTATTCCTTGCCCCAACATTTCGTCTCCCGATTTACTGGCCTGTCCTGCAGTGAGCAGAACCAGCTTAGACTTGGTAACATTTTCACTTGATTGCACATCTGAGTGTTGGGTCTGTGACTTTGAAATTCACAACTGTCACACTTAGGTGCAATAATTAGCTCATCTTCCATGTTCCCTGAAGGTGCTTGGAAATGCTAAATTTTAGGGATTGACAACCTTTCAGTTGACAGATAAAAGGCTAGTGATTCCATCCCCCCCCCACCCCCCTGCCAGATTTTAGGAAAGGAATAGGAGATGATAACCTTGCATCTTCTCTCAAAACCGGGGGTGAGAGTTTTAATAGAGTGCATTTCCCAGACCAGGTCTGGTCAACAAGTAAGTATCCTTAGAATGGACTTGAGAAAATATCTGTGAAGTTTGGGGAAGTGGCAAGTAATCACATGCCTCTGAAAATCCTTTGGCCCCTCACTGCTAGAGTCTATTTTAGTACCTGTTCATTATAGGTTTAAGTCCTTAAAACTTTTTGCTTGGGCTTCTCATTTCAGATATCTCCGTCCCCAGAATATATTCCTTTCTCTATTATTCACTTATTGAACATTTATTTCCTGACATGTTGGTGCTAGGAGTATGTGATTGCTGTGTGCTAAGTTCCAGGAAGAGCATCGTGGGCCAGGATCGACATGGCCATCTTCTTGGAGCTTACAGGGCTTCCGTGGAAAAGATAGACAGTTAAACAACCAAGGGAGACTGTGTGGTGATAAGGGAAGCCTGTGACAGGGCAACGCCCTCATCTGGGAATGGGGTTGGGAATGAGTTCCTGGTTCAGTACCCGCTGTGCACGTGCACTGGGCTAGCGGCAGACAGAGCAGGGAGCAGAGATTCTGCCTTTTATCTGCCTGCTAGAAATTCTTAAATTTAACATGGACCATGCCTTACCCATAATGTTCTTTCAATTTCATTTGTGATCCTTAAACCTCAGACAAGTGTTTGTAAAATGAAAAGCAGGTTTGTGAGCGCATGGTTTCTTTTCATTTCAAATAAAAAAGGGAAAAGCCTCATCTCACTGGGAAAAGAAATCGGTCTATTTCACAAACCCCTTAGAATGTGAGTCAGAAATAATCAATCCACTCTCTCCAATCATTGCATTTGGACACATGAAATGACTTTTCTGGAAACTCTCAAATGCTATTTTCTAGAAGTTTAACCACTCACTAGTGTGTAGGAAAGTGCAGCCTTACTGTAAGTAAGCAGGGAGTTGCACCCTTCACGTGTCTTGACCCTGGTTCTCTGCAGGTCTGCGTTGTGCTAAGCAGGCGGCAGGTGCTTCACAAATGTCTCTTCAAAGAGCTGATGGATCTGAAAATGAGAGGAGCATATTGGGGAGCATTACCCCACTTCTCCAAGTCATTATTGCCACACTAGTTCTAGAGGCTA